GAGAGTGAAAACCTGGAAACTGATTTAATGATTTACTATGATCGGTTTCCAGGTTTTCACTCTCACGCACTCATATTTCCCATCTATACTATATTTAATCCTGAAATTTTCCAAGGCTTTGAGAAAAGATATCTCGACCAGAGCCTAATCAAGTTCTAAATACCCGTATAAAAAAAAATTTATTGAATTTTAATAGGCAATTGTTGCTCAAAAATCTTACCGCAGTTAGGTATTTTATGAAATTTTTCAAGATTTTGAACAAATATATCTTGACAAGTGCCTAATTAAATTCAATGAATTGTTTTTTGTCCAAATTTCAAACTATCAACTGTGGTAAGATTTTTTTTTATTTTTTTAAACTTTGAAGATTTCGTGACAGCCGTCTAATGAAATTTGTTAATTTTTTTATTTTGGTTCTACGGGTGTCTAGAGTAAGACAACAAAAAAAAAAAAATTAAATTTGATTAGCTATTGTCGAGAAATCTTTCAAAGTCTCAGAAAATTTCAAAACTATCAAACAGCAATATGATTTTTGAAACTTTGAACAAAGATATAACGACAAATGCCTAACAAAATTCGATAATTTCTTTATTAAATCCGGAAGAATCAAGTTCACGTGATCTCGCCATTTTATGCCCTGACTAGTCTAGTTTTGATGTCATGTATACAAAAAAAAATTTACCACCACTATGCTCAACAACGGGCCTAGAAATCTAGAGTTTTATTTAATAGAAAATGGCTGATTATAACTCTACAGAACTAGGTATCGTTTGTCCTCGAACACCACACAAAACATTTTCAACGGCAAGATTTCCCATCATTGTTCGTGTTTCCAGTGTTGCACTACCAATGTGAGGAAGAACGATTACGTTTTGAAATTTCAACAGAGGATGATCAGGACCTAATGGTTCCGGTGTTGTCACGTCTAGTCCTACGGAACCTAATAGACCTTCTGACAAAGCACGTATAAGGTCGTCTTGTTGTATGATTGCACCACGTGCAGTATTCACAAGAATCTAAACAAAAAAAACGAACATAAATACATCTAATATATAGAGAATACATCAGAAATACATAATTTCCAAGAGTGGAAGATTAGATCAAATGCATTCTTAAGAGGAAACAAGTTGATCATTAAATTCGTAATTTCTGGCACACCTTCACGTCTTCAATCAGTGTTTACATACCACATTTTTTTTCATTACTTTGAAAGCACCATAATTGAATATCTCTCTTGTTTGCTCATTCAAAGCACAACATATACAAATAATATCCGCCTCTCTAATTAACGATTCAAATTTAACTCTAGTTGCACCGAGCTCTATGGCCATCGGCTTATCAGAATTTCCGGAGTAGATTATTTTTCCATTTGCACCCAAAAAAGGTTTAAGTCGATGCGCAGTAGCTGCACCGATTCGACCAAGGCCAACAATTCCAACGGTCTTACCAGTTAATTGAGTACCTGTAAATTTATTTCAGTTTAAGAAAATATAGACCTTTAAAACATTAAATTGTAAAGTAGATGGCAGAATACCCAACATCCAGACTGGACTCCACAATTTCCATTCACCATTATCTACTGCACGAATTGCCTTAGTATTATATCAGAAAGCTTATGTTATATTTATGGCAGTAGTGATAAATTAAATAGACCAAATAACAATTACCTCGCGCATTCTACGTGACGCGGCCAGTACCAATAACGAAGTAATATCTTATATTATTTTGTATAAGCTAACAAGATGAATATTTAATTCTATTCATAAATATCCTATTAGTATTTCCATTTTTGGCCGATTTTTATGAAAGGAATGAAGGTTTTGAAAGTCTTTTATTAATACGCATTAATTTTCAAATTTTAAAATGGATAACGGATTAGTACATACGTAGCCATTATAACGATAAGTCATTCTTAAGTTAGCTACATGTATGCTAATTTTGATTGGTCAAGTATGCTTAGATCGTCAATGAACATTACGTAATCTGTTACATATTGATCTACATATTGCATAAATGGTATTCTTGATACGTATCGATATTCTTATCGTTACGTATAAACCATTAACCATAAATGCATCAAAAAAGTAACCCCTAACCGGACACGGTTTTAGCACCTTTAGTTATTTAAGAACATGGACTTACAAGTGATTTAATGGTCTCATGCTAAATTTTTTGCTCAAAGTTTTAAAAAAAATTCAAAAGCGTGGATTTAAAACTGTGTTACGTCAGATTGAAATTTGTATTGGAGATGCGTAAAGTTAAAATAGAAGAATTAAATTGATGATTTATATAAGTGATACTAAGAAAACAAAAATCAGGGTTTTAAATTCTTCAGATTTTTTAGGGCAAATTTTAGATTTAAAAGCCGAAGCCAAAGTCTAGTTTTTCTTGGGCATCGCTCATTGCTGTATTATACGTTTACCGAAATATTTCGTTATATCGTAACTAGTTTTGAATAGACCAAAATATTTTCTGCCGTAAATACTCTAATTGCAATAAAAATTTAATAAAGCACCGTTATTACATACATATAATTCGTTTACTTTCACACCAATGACAAATTTTACAACTGTATTTATTGATCTTACAAGCATGCTAACATTCTTGTTTCTTTGACTGTTAAAATATCATCTAATTTCAAGTATATAATCGATAACGCAAAGTGTAATGAAGTACGCGATGTAATGAATTTTAATTCCAAAATTTTGACATCTTGGCATAAAAAGTTTGCGAATATTTCTACAGGCATGAAGTGCGCAATATACATCACGTAAATGATAATTTTGGTTTAACGCATCTCAATCAAATTTCATTCTCAATTTTAAATCTACGCCTTTTCGAATCTGACGCACGACATATGCAGTCTAAAAATTTTATTTAATTAATAGAGATCTCGTGTTTTGCACCGGGTATTTTGCACTACGGTAATCACCTGATTGTTGTCCGATTGTGTGATTGTAAAATTTTTTGGCCAAAGATTCAAAATCGATGTTTATACGTATCGATATGATTTGTATATACCAATTTCTAAGTATATAACAAAAATAGATGCCCAGTTCTAACCGTTTCTAACCGTACCATAATTCAAAGTAAGAATTAAATATTAAGTCTCTACAAGAAAAGTTACGAAGCAATTTTTTATATTTAAATATAAAAAAAATTACAACTCGACCTAAATTCAATATTTTAATATTGAAAAATCAGAATATATTAAAAATAATGTATTCGGACTATATTATTTGAGCAAAAACCTGTAAATAACATAGTAGTCATTATGTTCATTTAAAGGTTTTCGTCTGCAGCACTCATTTAAAAGAAGACTTCGTGATTTTGTAATAGTATTGCGTAAGAAACGTTTAGTTTTAGAAAACTTTGAAAAAGAAAAAAATTCGACCTGTGCATCTAAGTTGCTTTCATATTTATTTCATAATATATGTATGATTTTCGAAATGATCAAATTTTAATTAAAAAAAATATTTTAATAATTTAATGTTTAAGGTAACACTGATATAGATTTGTTTACTTAACGTTGATAACCCTATTTTCCTTGCCTTGTAAAGTGTGTCTTTGCTTGTTTTTGTAGTTGTAGTTGGTGTCCAATTCCGATACTGTATAAATTTTAATTTATCAACGAAAGAATGAAAGTATATTATTCCGATATCTGTTTAAAGCATGCTCCAAAATATGAAATTTTATCCGGAAAATTTGTTGAATACTTTGGTAATTTCATTATGATAATGATCTCATTTATAATTATTGATATTTAGTGGATAGTAAGGCGCAGACTTGTATGCGTTAAAAATATTTAATAAGTCTGCACCTCTAACACTAATAAGTCTGCACCTCTAACACTAATAAGTCATTATGATTTAATTAATCAATTTCTTGATCATACTTCCAATACTTACAATCGGATCCTAGAAAGTCCATCCCGTCTCTCAATTATTGTAGACCGATTACGAACTCAAAATTCATCTCAGCACTTTGAATTTTTATGCCCTTCAGATCATGGTCTTGATGCTATTCTAGCAATTCACAATGTTGATTATATAGAATATCTAAAGTCAGCTTATGAGGAATGGTGTAAGGAAGGTGGTAATAGAGATGGGGTAATACCGGAAGCATTTCCTCATAGTGGGTTTATTAGTACTAGTCGAGACAAGATTAAGAACGCCAAATCATCACTTGCTAAGGCCGGATTATATTGTTTCGATCTATCATGCTGTATAACAGAAGGTTATATTGCTTAATCATTTACATGTGATAAATTATTATTGAAGTAAAGATTGTTTATTATGTTTGCGATTACTGTTTATACTCTTTAATAGGAACTTGGGAAGCAATCTATGAATCTGCGCAGATTGGTATTAGTGCTGCTAAGGAACTTATCAAACTTAATAACGAATCTGTTCATAATAAAGGTCATCCAATTGGTGTATTCGCTCTTTGGTAATATATTCATTGTTAATTTATTCATTTATATTAATTCATCCGGCTAATACAATGCGTATTTTTTGTTATAAAGTCGCCCACCTGGCCATCATGCAAGTTCAAATATCAGTGGTGGAGGATGTTTTCTTAATAATGCTGCTATCGCTGCTAAACTATTGATCGATGATCTTGATTCTAATGGAAATGCTAGAAAAGTCATCATATTGGATATCGACTATCATCAGTAAGATTTTTCTTATTATGAGCATGCTTTTTTATTTATTTATTTATTTACTTATTTTTATTTATCAACAGTGGAAATGGAACACAAGACATTTTTTATACTCAATCAAATCCTTTATATGTTTCATTACATGCATCAAATGATTATCCATGGTTTACTGGCGAAACAACAGAAATTGGTGAAGGTGAAGGTGAAGGTTATAATGTTAATATTCCATTACCAAAAGAAACTAGTGATGAAGCATATTGTAAGGTGTTAGAAAAAGTCATTAAAGAAAAGATTACTTCTTATGAGGCTTATTATCTAATTGTTTCTCTGGGTGGTATGTTACTTTTGTTTATTGTTTATTGTTTACTTATAGTTGCTTTTTATTAACTTTATGAAATAGTTGACACGTACAAAGATGATCCAATTGCGGGATTTCAAGTTACAGCAGATGCATATAAACAAGTTGGAAGAATAATTAAATCAATAGAGTTACCAACACTTTTTGTAATGGAAGGCGGATATCATATGGAAACTTTGGGAATTAATGTTTCTAATGTGTTGTTAGGATTTCTTGATTGCTAATTATAAACAAATTTTTTAACTAATCTTTAAATATTTTTTTAAACATTTTTGCAAATTATTGCTTAATAATTTTATATATATATTTTTTGTTTTTTTTTAATTATTTGTTTTTTTTTGGTTTTTTTTTAAATTGGTTGTTTTTTAAATTTTTTTTCTAGTTTTTGATATTTATTATTTTTTGAAAATTAAAGAAAATAAGAGGTTAATAAAAATTTATAAAAATCTTTTTATAAGTTTATAGTTATATAGTATTTTTAAACTTTTAATAATCTTGACTAAAATTTTTCTACTGTTTTTAAAATAATACTTCTAGTCTGAATGCTAAATATATTAAGAAGTTTATCTAAAAAAAGTTTGATTTTAATACAAACTACTTGAAGTATATTTACTTTTTAGTATTTTATATTTTTTTAAGCTTTGTTAACAATAATTTATTTTATACAGTACGGGACAGCAAAAAACATCAATTTTTTTTATAAAGTGCCAAAGTTACAATTATTTAATCAATTTTGATTGGCTAATTTTATATAAAAAATTTTAATTGATTAAAGAAATATATAAACTATTTTTTTTATAAAGTAAACGCAAAATTTTTAATTTTTAATAATGAGCATTAACCAATAAAATTGCTAGCACGTGACTTGTACTAAATATGATTGGTTAATTTCTTTGCGCCAAATTTCTGC